AGCTAGGCCAAAGAAGAGATTTTTGTCCCGTCCCCAAAAAGCAGTAGTGTCTTGATGAAGCATCTGTTCCTAGAACGTAAGGAAAGGGTTCAGACAGCCCAGCAACTGCCACTCAAAGATTCAGTGGGGGTTGTCATCCAACTGTGGCTTGCTGAACGGTGCATTATTGCGTTGTCTAAACCCAGCAGTGCTAACAAGCTATGGCTTGTTGACCACAAAGCCTAGGAAAAGAATCCATGCTTTGCTGTTGTTGCAAACTGCGGGTTGTTCACCATCATTCGTTATCTCAGTTGAGGCCAAGCAACATTATAATCCATGGTTCAACAGAACCCTGGAATCAGGGTAATCATATTGTCTGAACCCTGTCTAAGAGGGCTTTGAGACCTGTAGTAGCTATTAGACCCAGTCCAATCCTAGCAGAGTACAAAGCTGCCTGGACAGGATTTTCCCAAATGTGGCTGAGAATGCATTCCAAAAGGCCTTGGTTTCAGGTCGGCCCAAAGGCATGTAGCCTAACGACGACAGCTGCCCATGGAGATCAGCATAACAGACCCTGTGTCAGCTAATAGTTCCTAGAGTATGGATTAAGCTCATAATACCTCTGGACAGCTCCTTGCCTGCCTCCACTCTCATTAAAGTGATTTTATCCTTCACGATGGATTCCAAGTGGTGGATTTAATCCATTAATTCAGGATAGGAGGAAGTCAAGCAAATAATAGTCATTGAAAAACATTCTCATTTCACCATGCTAGCAAATCTGCAGTGGCATTGTCCAGGGAAATCTGAGATGCATTTCAGCTATTTTGGGATCAGCACTTTATTAAACAGGGCAAGATTCAATTTTTGTTTACTGTTGGCTGTGCTACAAAGAGAAATGCCAAAGAAATATGTTCTTGCTGCTCCAGGATAGAAACAAACTAATGGCAACTTCTTTCTTCATTAGGGTTGCTGACTTTTGCGTCTGAAAAATAGGGACATTGGGCCGAGTAGCTATAAATGTATGTAAATATTCATCTCCCAAAGAGAACACCAGATCTGAGAAGATTCAATGACAGACTGTCCCTGAGCATGCCCAGAATCCTTTCTTGCCTCTGGCAAGCATTTTGCGGGACAACTGCTTTCCTCACAGAGAAAGTTAAATCTCTTGGTTCAGCATTTTGGGCAGTACTTTTCTGAGTTTTTTTCCTTATTCTTTGGGGCAGCAGGAACGTTCAGAACTTGCTTTGCAAGACAGTATTTCAAGTATTTTAAGTATTTTGGTGTAAATTGGATTCCAAACTTCCAATGCTATGAAACGTAGGCACATACCCATATGCACTTACAGGTATTATCACTGCAAACTTATCGACAGACGTATTAAGTGCTGTGAAGTGTTGTGTAGAATCTCATCTTCTAAATGCCTCTCTTTGCTTGCCTTGCAGTGAGATCAGTGAAAAGGCATGAATAGAAATAATGTCAGGCAGGCCAAAGGCTATTTGAGAAGACAGGGATGTGCAGCGCCAGGGAAAACATTAAGGGTAGGCATGGCTGGAGAGAATAACTAGACTTCATACCCATTGAGTGATGCACCATGAGTGGCTACCTGCAGGGAGTGCATCCTAAAGCTCATTGCAAAAGCATCGAATGAGCTGCTGCAAATATTTCAGGCACTCGTTTTGCTGAAGTGCACATTTCAACAAGACTACGGAAATAACAGAATATACCTGTGTCACCCAAGTTGCTCAGTGCCAAAGGACTTTGGCCCAGAAAGAGGAAGTGCATCTCATGGCTGGAAAGAGAGGCGAATGGAGATGACGATGAAAGTACATGAACCCAAATGCCTACTGGGAAGAGCAAATGTTTTGGATGTGGAGATACAAAGTACATTCCAGATTGAAGATAAAAATTGCTCCTGTAAACAGTTTTGCAAATATTTGGCACCCTTCCTGGGTTGACAAGCTGAGAAAAAGACTTCTGAACAGGCACTTGAACACACTGGAAAGAAATACACTTTTCTGTTATCAGCTGATGCAATGCCATGTGAAGATAGACATTTCCATCCGCTTCTGGGGAAAATAGATGATTTAATAAAAAAGGATACCCCAGATAAATGTGGGGGGGGCACGATACTTTTCATAAAATTAGTCACTTTGGAGGTTCTAGTTTGGGTGCTCCTGTGGATGCCATGCTCTCAGGGTTCTGGAAGCTGCCCAGACATGGAAACTGGAGTTTCCTTGGAAGAGGAGCAGCAGAAATAACTCTCCCTGGAGCAGATTGCAGCACCAGTGGTGGATCCTTGGACTCAGGCACTCAAGCTGTGGGACTGGTGCTCTCCATACCAGTTGCATGGGGTCCTGGCAGATTCCTGGAGTCCCTGTGCCACTGTTTACTCCCAAGGCTGCAGCAAAGGAGACAGCAAACCAGGGAGGAGTTTCAGGGTTCCTGGTGAAGTACCCAGTTAGCTGTACATGAAATGTCTCAAAAGGAGAACTCATGTAAGTACCTCCCTAGATCAAGGCGAGGTTGAAAGCCAAGAAAAGGTGAAGAACTGTCCCTATATAAACTGGATCATTGCTCACGCAGCAAATGCCCTTGAGAGTTCTGTACTGTCTTGCTGTAATGGCTTGCCATGTCTTTTGTCTTCCCTGAATCTCCTACTTCTAACCTTCACCGAATGCCCTCTCAGGTTCTTGCATTCTGAGAAACACTTCCCTATCTATGGAATGCACTCCCCAGAGAGGTCCGCCTGGCGCCGCTGTTATTTGTTTTTCGGCACCAGGCGAAGACCTTTTTATTCAAATGTCATTTTAACTGCTAAGATTATTTCCTTATTTTATTCTTTGGCCAGGGCGACTTATTTTATATTGTAAATTCATTTTATATTTTTAATGTATTATATTTTAATGTTTTGTGAGCCGCCCCGAGGCTTCGGCAAATGGGGCGGCATAGAAATTTTCTAAATAAAAAAATAAAAAAATAAGTTCTGATGCCTCACGATGGGTGCTGTGTGGTCTTCACACACTGCTACAGTAGGGCGCAATGGCTACAACTCTATGCAAATGTCTGCAAGGTTAACTTTATTGAGAGGTTATTACCAGGACGCAGTTAACTTCTCCCAGACAGCTCATGAGAAGTCAACTGCGCCACCACCCTGCTCTCATGGATGTTTGCTGAAATAAAGATACAGGGGCTCCTATGATCTCTGTTGCATCCGATCCTCCTGGATTAGCTGGCCTTTTTCCCACATGTGCTTTGCCTCCCATTGCTTGCTTCAAATCTTTCTGCCTGAGCCTTATTTTACTGAAGTGAGATGCCCTCCTCTCTCCCGTACATATATCCCATTGTACAAATAGGGGTATCCCTTAGGAGGAAGGGTTTTTTAAAGACACACAAGGAGATGTTTAAGTGTATGTAAATTAGCACATGCAAATTTGTGCAGTTTTTCTCCTGTGAGCTTGAGCCCCACAACTTTTCAGTACTTTAGGGTTAGAGTCCTGCCAGGGTAATAAGCAGCATATAAATTTGAAAATAAATACTTGCTGCCTCCTTGATCCTCCCCATGGGCTTGCCAGAGGCATCTGCTTGGTAACTGTGTAAAACACAGTGCCAAGTAATACAGGCAGGGCTCCTCCTATGTTCTTTATTTTCTCAATTCATCATACTGTCACCAAAAGGAGCCAGTAAAATACTTCTGGAAGAGATGAAAGGAGAGGGTAGTAATCCCGTTTGTCACTGCAATCTGGTAGTCAGACACACAACACTTTTGCAACTGGAAAGTCATGCAATCATTGACAGACTTCTCCATAGGACAGTGGATGCATCTAATGCTTTCTGAAGGACAACTCTCCATCAAGGGTAAAAATTCAACAAAGTAATGTAGTCTCTAGAAGTGCTGAGTGTAGTGTGCCACATCATGGTGGTGGTAATTTTTAAAAACCAATTTTCTTTTAATGAAGTGTATCAAACTTACAAATGTATTAACTTATATAATATGCACAGATATCTCAAGAGGGAAACATACATGGAAGGAGTAAGCAATATTTGTCAAAGTGTGATTAAACTAGAAATCGAACACTTGTTATATGTAGTCCTCTGCAAAGCATTCCTCCTTGATCTACTTTCCTGATAAATATAAGACATGTTACAATATATTGCACCTTAGACTTAAAAATAGCACAAGATACATCCAGTTATACCTCTACTGCGAATGTCCAGTCCTGCGGATGTCTACTTATAAGAAAGTTCCACTAAGTTCAAAGTGTGTACAGGATTCACTCTCGCGTTTACTGTTTTCTTCTCGGATGCAGCTTCTAACGTGCGCCAATATTCATTTTAAAAATAATCACTAAATGCTAGTAACAATTTTCTGAATTTTGTATAAGACTGAAAACATTCTGCACGTGAAAGTTTTATTTGGACGTTATCAACATTAATGTGCGTCACTTAATATGCAACTATTGTATAATATGCTTTTACGTGCGTTTAGCAGAACCTGCCACTTCCAAGAAAAGAGAGCACCAAATACGGAGTGGAAAGCAAATTAGAGCGCCTCCTCCCAGAATGCACTTCGTGGCCTAAAGGGTGGAGCGTGGCCAAACAAGAGCACTTCCCAGCATGCACCTGATTCCACCAGTTTCCCGAGAGCGCCCTGACAGGTAGAGAAGGTCAACGAGTTCGCCGTTTCCGGTGCGCGATGCAGGACGGGAATGCGAGTAGCGCTATTGGCTGGTGCCTACCCCGCTTTTCGGCGAGCTAGGCGGGCAGGAAGCTAAAGCGGCAGCCGAGACGGCTCGGCGGGACAGGAGGCCTCTCCTGGTAAGCGCTTTATGGACTGACCCGGTTTTCTCCGGGTCGGGGTGGTCCTCCGGCCGAGGCGGGCGTCAAAAAGGGATCGATTTAATGCGCGATTTGATGACGTAATAACGGCTCTGGAGACGGGGCCGCCGCTGGAATTGCGCTGGTCCATGCGCCGGCTTCTGTGGCGTCTTTCCGTTCGCGCCGGCCCGAGCAGGGACCTCCCGCTCCGTCCTGCTTTTGCCTTTAGGAGACACTTTCGCTTCTCGGCGCCCCTCAGCGGCTAGGCCTTCCGCTTGGCCCGCTTTCCGTGTTCATTGGCCCCTTTCGCTTCCTTTCTGTGCTGCCATTGGCTAACGCTGAAATGATTGACGGGCGTGCTGCCCCCAGTGAGGTCACATGCACTGAGCGATGCTTCTGAACTTGAGGGGCACGTGCGCTTCTGGGGACATCAGGGCTGCCAGGTCCTCTTAGGAGTTCCGAGAGAGAGTTCTTGCGTGGCATCTTAAACGCTAACAGAACTCATGTGAAGTAAACATTGGTTGACTGGAGTCTACTTTATCAGATGCGTGGTGTGAGCTTCACTTGGCAGATACACACACAAATAGAGAGGAAAAACAATGGTTAAAAGCAGCCATGAAGCGCAAGAGGTACAGCCTGTGATGCTCCTTGTACGTTTTCACTTACGCTGTTCAGTCAGTAAATGCTCTCAGAGCAGCTTCCAACGATTAATTAGACAGTTGCTACCTTCAAGCTTCGTTCTTTTAGACTCGACACAAGAGGCAAAAGGATTGGGAGGGAGGAGGAAAACAGCAAAACTCAGGTACCAGTGCTTCCTTTCGAAATGCTTATAAGTGTTCTTTCTGGCACTGAAGGGTAAAAGCTCTATGCTATTCTTTTCTGGTTCAGCTATGGAGCAAGGTTGGTCTTCTATCTGCCATAATCTCTCTGGGAGGTAGGGAGCCGTAGCCTGGAGGGTCACACTTGCTCAATGCCCTTGCAACTTGCGTATCAGCAATAAATCATCAGGTGGCTCAGATTCTTCCATGGTTTAAGATAATGGAAAACCAACATGGTGCCTTGGCAATTGTTGACTGTGGGAACTGTTCTCCAGGCTGGGCAAGCCTGCATGGATGGGCTCTCCCTTTGCTTGTCCCAGGCCTTAAACAGGGTCCAACCCTTTGCTATTTTTAAAATATAACTAATGATACAGAGATTCAAACATGGGACACTATGAGTTAAAACAGTTAAACGTATAATTAGTTCTTAGATTTCAAGCTATTTAGCACACAATTAGCCCATAACGTCTGGGTTCTGATTGGATTGTGTGTTATGAGGGCAGCAAAGTTACATTTGAATTGCATCACTGTGTTCTGTGGGTCTTACCAACACCAAATTACTCTCCCCAGTTTATCCCTCATTCTTGTATTATCAAAATAGTTCCAGGCTTTTAAGGTGTGTACAGGTATAGAATATTAATTTGTTTTAGGTTAGAGAACATAGCTATTTAGAATTCTTAAAAGCCAGGATTAAAACATGGTTTACTGTATTGTACCCTCTCTGGCTGTGGCTAGAAAAATACCTTGACTACAGGAAATATTAGTTCTGGTACCTTAGAATCTTAGCGTTTTGTACAGGATTGGCTCCAAACAACAAATCTGAGGCTGGCAATTCCTAATCTGAAATAACACCCTTTAGGTCCTCCCAAGAAGTTGTGATGCTCAGGTGGTCTTATTTATAGTCTGAATAAAAGGTAATACAGCAACTTTTACTGAAGCTAAACAAGAAAAACCTGAACCTGGTCAATATTTGAATGGAAAGTTGCCTGGAAGCCCTGTTCAGACAGCTTGAATTTCCATGATAAAGGAAAGATTGCATTTGATTATGGAGAAATTGTTTTTGGCCTTTACGTGCATGAGAGAAAGGAGAGTGTCCTGTGCAACCTTGCAGTGTGCTCCTAGCCAGCCCCCTCGGATGGATTGCTGAGCTTTTAAGCAGAATACTAATTTAGCTGGTGTCAGGGTTACTGTGACTACATAACCCCTAAATTGCTCTTTCTGTTGCTCTGTTTCCTTGTTTATAGAATAGGCAATATAAAAACACATTTCGTGTAAGGTAGCTAAAGGTGATTTTCCCCACTTAGTTTTGTTAATTGCTCCTAGTCGAAAGAGGAGATGAAGCCCTAAGCCAGTCTGTTGTGTGCAGGAAAATTTGACGAGCATTGAGAGGCAGGTGTGCATCAAATTCCTAAGGCAAAGAGCTCGATGCTGAAATCTTACTGTGAATAAGCTTCATGAAATAAAGTTATTTTTTAAAAATTCCCTGCTCCAGCAACCATTTTTCTTCCTCATTGCCATTACTTCTGGGCATCATTGGTTCTGATGAGAATGGTTTTTTCCTCCTCTCCCTTGTATGTTCTTATCACAAGGCTCATATTATCTTCACATGTCTTTGAGCTGCATTTTTGGATCACAAGTTTTCATTTGGTTGTAGCTTCGTAAGAAGGAAAGTACTATGTATCTTCTAATTTTATTCCTTATAATTGGTTGCATTTCTTATTTTGGGTGTCCATTAGTGACACTTACCCCGGCTAATTATTCACATGTATGGTTATGGACTCTAGAGTTCTCATTTTGATTCGTAATCTTTCTTTGTATTGATCTTTCAACACTAATTTTGACTGGTGATCTTTCCTAGACAAATCTAGCCATGGAAGCAGAAGAGACGATGGAATGCATTCAGGAATTTCCAGAACATTACAAAGTAATTTTGGACAGACTGAATGAACAGCGGGAACAAGATCAGTTTACAGACATCACTCTGATTGTAGATGGTATGTAGTTATGCAAACTGAGTCTCACGTATGCATATGATCCATAATTAGCTCACTGCCCAGGCCACTGAAGAGTTAAGTCCAGTTGGGTTTAATTGAAAAGAAAATGCCTTTGTGAGGAATGCTGTGTTGCTTACAAGACTCCTGGATGTTACAGACCTCTTGAGTCTATACCGATGAGGACAGAGGGCCGGCTTCTGAGGTCTCCTTGGACAGCAGCAGAGCTTTATGCCACTGTAGTTTTCTTCCCAGAATGGGGGCATTTTGGGGTAGCCGAGGATCCAAATGCTGCTTCTATCCCTTATTACCTCACTCCCAACAGTTTTTATGATTGTGGAATTTATTTCACAAGCTTCAATGTCAAAATAAAATCTGTGGTTGAAATTCTGCCTTCCTTCCTAAAACTTTTGATAGAACAGATTTGTGCACTTTCTTATAGTTTGTGTGTGTAGAAAGGGAACAGCAAAACACCTATTTTCCTCCCATCAGAAAGTTCAGATCAGAGTTCTGTCAATATGGTTTAAATATGTCAACTTAATATTTTAAATCAGAGAATACTTTATCTTTAGCCTTCAGTGTTTTACCCATCAAATATTAGTCAAATAATAGCATTGATCCATTATTGTAAGAAAAACTGAGCAAATGAAACACTGCTTATCAAGGTTAACAACTGTATTGAATGAATTCCAGAATATTATAAAGTGTACTTGAGACAACAGGACACCACCACCACTGGATCAACAACCCATTCAGAGGGTGGTGTGTGATAAACTGTTGGCAGTATCAAGGGCTGCTACCCAGCCTGCGCATTTGGAAGAGGCAGCCGAATTTCAAACAAAACGGCTCTGATTTGACATGTGTCTGGAACTGAGAATTCATCTGGGGAGGGTTAGATATCATGTGAATTGTATAAAAAAAGCTATAGCCTTGGTGAGTTCCAGTTGTTGTGGATTAGTAGTCCCCAGACCTTTTGGGACTGCTGCCCCCTTTTGTCTTGGACAATGACCCTGGCACTCTTGCACCTCTTTCTTGGCTCTACTGCAAATTTAAAACAAGGGGGTGATAGTGTCCACTTTGGGAGACACTATTACAGATGAATATTCCAAGTGTGTTATTGGATTTGGAAGAAATAGTCCAGTGTGCATTTCATTTACAATGAAGTAAATGTAAACTGTTTCTCAATACTGGAGGTCTTCACAGAGTTTACCCCCAACTTTTGTCACATGGGCTAACTTCTCTCACAGTTATATTCAGTGGCAACTGAATATTCTCAGTCCTTTGAAAGAAATTGGTGAGGGAGATGTTACCTCAGTTTTGTGATCATCTTTAATATCTACTCAAATTGATAGGTAGCTTAAACTCTAAAGTGAAATTTGGGGAGAAAGCCATTGAGAAATAGCTGGGGTTGGGGTGGTTCTGAATAGAAAATGAGGGGTTGCTGTTCTCAGACAAATTTTCACGCTGGCCTTTTCTTGGAAATACCAGCACTGTCTTGCTTTTACACCTAGTGTAAGGAAGAGACCCCTCCCTCCCAGGAGGTTTTGGTGGCAGCCACAAATAATGTGTTAAAATTTGCAGAACAGTAGACAGTAGCCTGTTCCTTATCTTGTCACTAAATAAGGCTGTATGCTAACATTATGTGGTGCTGGAGAAGACTCCTATGAGTACCTTGGACTGCAAGGAGATCAAACCAGACTGCTCTTTAGAAGGCCAGATCCTGAAGATGAAACTCAAATACTTTGGGCACCTAATGAGAAGGAAGGACTCACTGGAGAAGACCTTAAAGGTGGGAACAATTGACGGCAAAAGAAGAAGGGGACAGCAGAGAATGAGGTGGCTAGATGGAATCACTGAAGCAGTTGTGTGTGCTTAAGTGGACTCTGGGAGATGGTGGAGGACAGGAAGGCCTGGAGGAGTGTTGTCCATGGGGTTGCGATGGGTCGAATGTGACTTCACAACTAACAACAATAACATGCTAACATTATTTTTTCTTTATGCCTTTAGCATCTAGCACATGAGGTTTTATACCCAGATCTCTTCCTTTGTTTCAGGTCATCATTTTAAAGCTCATAAAGCTGTTCTCGCTGCCTGTAGCCAGTTTTTTCACAAATTCTTCCAGGACTTCACTCAGGAACCTCTGGTAGAGATAGAAGGTAATTGATACAACCTGATCCAGAGATCTTTTCTAAGAGAAGGACTGGTGGGGGCAGGGGATTGCTTTGTCTAGTTCTTCACTGGTCTACCCATTCTCGCAGGCAAAATCTCAGATGAGGTCTGCAAAATGATTTTGCTTGGTAAAGCTTAATTCCAGGCACTCATTCTCAGATTTTAGTCCTGCTATGTGGAACAGAGTGGAGTGATGTTACTATGTGCACAAAGGGCTTATAAATGTGGCTAACAATGGCCCTGACTGTTGCCAAGAACCTGTTCTTCTCCTAAAGGATGTTTTGGGGGTTCTTGTAATGCTTTGGGAGCAGAATGTGAGCAGGGATGTCTGAAAACAAGCCCCAGTACTCTGCTCCATCATGGAATGGCAGGCAGTGGAGGGGGCAGGTGAAGAAGCTAAGATGGGGCCTGCAGTTGTGCTGGACCTTGGTGGCCTTCTGAGTGCTCCCAAAGCCCAGTATAAGTGTCAGAACATTTCCAGCTTCACTTCCCTCGAAAGTTCAAACAAGTAGTTGGGGATACTCCTAGAACCTGGGTTGCATGTGGATAGCTAGGCCGCGATAGGTCGGACACAACTTCGCGACTAACAACACCTAGAACATGGCTGGGCACCTGTGTACCACCAACTGCTGCTATTCTTGAGATGATCAGATCAGTTCAGACCACAGTAACACATACCTTGGTTGCAACCTACCTTGGATTATTAAACGGGGCTAGCTTTTGAAGAGTGTTGGGGAACTTCACTTGGTCCAGAATGCAGCAGCAATGATAGTGGACGCTTACCGATGAAGATCACATTATCCCTCTTCTGCAAAAGCTGCACTTGGTTGCCACTTTATTTCTGGGCACAATTCAGTGGTTTGTGTCCAGGGTACCCAAGGGAGCATCTCCTTCCATACCAGCTGGTCCAGAACTATTAGAAAGGCTCTTTCCTATGCCCTATCCATAGAAACATAGAGCAAGTCAGAAGGGGTCTCCTGGGCCATCTAGTCCGACCTCCGGCACCAGCCAGCTCCACTCACAACATGCCCACCATGTGCATGTCCAGGCTGTCTTTGAACACCCTTACCGATGGGCCTCAACCACCTCTCGTGGAAGCCCATTCCACACCCTCAGGGCCCTAACTCAGAAAGTGCTTCCTGGTATCTAAATGGAACCTTGGCTCCCTGAGCTTTGCTCCGTTGGAGTGCGTCCTGCCTTCCTCTGCAGGGGAGAACAGGTCTCTACCCATCTCCGTGTGACATCCCCTCACATACCTGTTTGTCGCCAACATATCCCCTCTGAGTCTCCTCTTCTCCAGGCTGAAGAGACCCAGTTCCCTCAGTCTCACCTCATACGGCATCCCCTGCAAACCGGCCACCAACCTTGTGGCCCTACGCTGCACTGACTCCAACCTGGCTATATTCTTTCTGTAATGAGGGGCCCAAAACTGAGCACAATACTCCAGTTGCAGGTGCACCAGAGTCATATAGAGTGGTAGTAATACCTCTTTCGATCTAGAAGCCACACTTCTGGCTATGCAACCAAGGGTGGCGTTCGCCCTCTTGACCACCGCATCACACTGCTGACTCATGTTTAGCCTACAGTCAACCAGTACCCTGAGGTCCCTTTCACAAGTGCTGCTCTCCAGCCACTTGTCCCCTTACCTGTACGTATGACACCTATTCCTATGCCCCAAGTGCAAGACCTTGCACTTCTCCACATTGAACGCCATCCTGTTGTCTCCTGCCCACTTCCATAGTCTGTCCAGATCCTTTTGGATCTGGAGTACCTGCTCCTCAGTTGTGGCCACTGCTCCAGTTTTAGTGTCGTCTGCGAATTTGACCAGCAGACTGTTCACCCCTTCTTCCGTGTCATTTATGAAGAGATTAAACAGGATTGGCCCCAGGACAGAGCCCTGGGGTACCTCGCTTGTCACTGGCCGCCATCCCGATGATTCCCCACTAATGGTTACCTTCTGCTTTCGGTCAGTCAACATGCCCTAATCCACCGGACAGTGCTTTGGTGTATCCCAAAACAACTCAGTTTCTCTACCAGGATATCATGGGGCACTTTGTCAAAAGCCTTGCTGAAATCCAGGTATACCACATCCACTGCATCCCCTCCATCTAGTCATCTCAAAACCTTGTCATAGAATTCCACAAGGTTTGTCTGGCAGGGCCTGTTTTTGCGGAAGCTGTGTTGTGTGGCTGCCAGCCTCCCTTCCCTATCTAGCATCACTAGATCTCTCTCTATTATGAGCCTTTCCATTGTTTTTCCTGCAATGGACATAAGGCTAACAGGTCTGTAATTCCCCATGTCCCTTCTACTACCCTTTTTGAAAATTGGGACCACTGATGCCACCCTCCAGTCCTCTGGAACTTCGCCCGTTTTCCATAAGGCCCCAAAAATGGAGGCCAGCGGGCGTGAGAGAACCCCTGCCAACTCTCTCTCGGGTGTAACCTATCAGGGCCTGGCGCCTTTGTAATGTCCAATGCCCTGAGGAGCCCCTCGACTTCAAGGGGGGTGACTCTAATCTGTGCCCCTAAGTCCCCAGCCTCATCTAATCTCCTATGTGGATATCCCCCGTCCTGCTCTGGGGAGAACACAGAGGCAAAATAATCTTTTAGCATCTGTGCCTGTTCCCTCATATCAGTCACTGGATCTCCTTCCTCCTTATTTAGTGGTCCCACCACTTGTCTCCCCTTCCTCTTCCTATTTACATGCTGAAAAAAGCCCTTTTTGTTGCTCTTGATATATTTGGCAAGTCTCAGCTCGTAATCAGCCTTAGCCTTGTGAAGAATCCTTCTGCAATGGGCCTCCTCCTCCCGGTATACCCTTTCGTCTATTTCCCCCAGTACCCATTTCCTATGGAGATTCCTTTTTTGTTTAATCCCTCTAACCACCTCCTTTCGCATCCATGGCAGCGCTCTCCTCTGCCTCCCCACCTTACTAACTAGAGGTATCGTCAAGGCTTGCGCCTCCAAAACCTCCCTTTTGAGTGCCATCCACCCCTCCTCAACGCACTTACCTGCCAGTAACCTATCCCAGGCAACTTTCCCCAGTCTGGCCTTCAGTTGGCCAAAGTTGGCCCTCTTGAAGTATCCATGGACAAGGCATGACTGGTTGAGGTGTTCCTTGGTGGCTATAGAATCCTTGTTCTGTAAGGTTCATTTTGTCTCCTTTCTTAACTGCTTTTAACCTGTCTTTGTTGGACAAGCACTTTGTACCAGTAAGCATTTGTCTTGCAATGCAATTTTTTCTTGACTCTCTATATCTTTATCAGCTGAGCTGGTTTCCATTTTTATGCAGCTTTAAATTGATACCTTTTAGATTGATTTGTTCTTAATTGTAAGCCCTCAGCAATGCAAATAGGTTAGAAGGGAGTGGTGTGAGTTTTCTAAATTAATAAATGCAAATAACTGTATTTGAGAGAAGTATCCTGGCATATAAAATAGATTCTGCCTGTTTCATAGGTTGTCAGGGAACATCTTATCTACTTGGGAAATGATTTTAATCTGAAAAGAAAGGATGCATTGGTAGCAATTTCAGAGTAGAAATACCTTTTGGAAGTCCATTGATTTTGCTCTGGTTTTACTTGACTATGGTTTCAGACTGCAGAGTATGCCCAGGCTATCTTTTTCTTGCCTCTGGCAACTATACCTGTGCATCTGGAATTAGAAGACAGAGGTTCTGTTGTCTGAGAGGAAACAGTGATGGTTGCTTTGGACCCCACCAGCTTACTCCTTACTGCTGAAGCACTTAACCCAGTAGTGTTAGATTAAAAAGAATGGTGATCTTCAAAAATCTTTCACTGGTCAGTGAACTACTGAATAATGAAAATTGTGAAGGACTGCTCTGAAAACAGCTATGATGGAAGTCTAGAAATCTGGGTGGACCTCAGAAAATTGTTTCTTACCATTTCTGCTACATTAACAAAACAAGAAATCAACTACCTTTTACAGTCAGGGTCAAATATGAAAATAGACAAAGCTTTTTAACTTACCTTGATCTATTGCAGCTTTCCCAAATCAGGTGTCCTTCAGATATCTTAGACTAAAACTCCACCATCCCCCAGATCACACAGCCAGTTCTGCTCACTGCGGGATGATGGATGCTGTAGTCAAACAAATCTGAAGAGCACTAGACAGAGTGGGGGTGCTCTCTTGCCCTATAGAATTTGGACTCTTGTTCAGCGCTAGACTTTCTGACTGCAGTATCAGAAGTGTTTCTGCAAATGCTGAAAATACTTCTGGCTCTAGGAAGACAGAAAATAGACCAAGCTTCAGTTGTGGGACATTGGTCAATATCTAGCTTCACCACTTTCTAGTAATTTGAAGCTTGTTAGGTTTCTTTCAAATATAGGAACTGGCAACTATTTTTTAAAGCCAAGATACATGCTTGCAACCATTTGACCAAGATTAGTTTTGTTCTGACCATTATAAGTCCATATAAGCACTGTTGTTAATATATTTAAAAATAATTGCTTCTGGGTTGGGGTCTTGCTTGCCTGTTTGTTTGTAAACGTAAATTAGACCCATAAGGCTTAAAGCCAGCCTACTCCTGTCCAGGTGATCAGTGTGGAAGCCAGTGTTCCCACTTTGTGGCAGTTAAATAGAACTTCCCTTGTTCAAAGATGAAATATTTTTGATTACCACATGCTAGGAACAAACAACATGGAGTAGCCATATTCTAGCATTTTCTAACTAGCCAAGGGTGGAGGTGGAATGCTAGACTCAATGGTTTTGGGACTTAATCCTGCAAGGCAACTCTTACAAAAGAAATTAAATCTATACAAAGTACAGGAAGGTATCATTTTATCTTTTGCCTTCAATCAGGTGTAAGTAACATGGCATTTCGTCACTTAATTGAGTTCACGTACACTGCCAAGCTAATGGTCCAAGGGGAAGAGGAAGCAAATGATGTCTGGAAAGCAGCTGAATATCTTCAGATGTTAGAAGCCATTAAAGCCCTCGAAATCAGGTGAGGTTTTTTGGATGGCTGTATCTTAAAGAGGCATCTAAGAAATCTTCATACCAATCTAAGATGCTCCTTTTAGGTGGCTGCCTTCTCATTTATTTTCCAGGATCAAGAAAGACCCCTTTAACTTTTAAAATATTTCAGAGTTGACAGTACTGTCATCTGTGGTTCCTTTTCCCTGTCATACAGGGGAATTTGGCTTTACCACTGAAAGGGCACTTGGTCGGTGCCCACAACGAATCCTCACTCCCAAATGTGAGTGAGTGTGTCTGCATGTTTGTGTAACAGTCACAAGCTTGACTATAACTTTAAAGATAATGTACACTTCAGAAATATTTGCTATATTCCCAGAAAAAATGCTAGGATTTGGCTCTAAATATAATTGGAGCAAAGAGAAGGCTCATTGAGGAGATTAAATACATTTAGGCCATGCTGTGAGGCAGGCAGCTGACGGTTGTCTCTTTCTTTGGATAGTTTTGCTCTTTAAGTAGAAGCCTACATAAGGTGAATAGCATGCATTACAGTGTCCTATATATTCAGTGTATATATACTCCATCAAAGCTCAGCTATTATGAATAAGCAACTCATGACTGGGGGTTCTTGAGGCTTGCTATATCATCCAAATGCAGGCTGCAGCAGTTATATGAAGGTTTCAACCCCCAAATAATTACAACAGACCATTTTGTTGTTCATACGGGTCCAAAATGCCATGTGGTAGGGACAGAAGAGAGCCTGTGACCCTCTGGATGTTGAGTTTCAGTTCCCATCATTTTTGACCACTGGCCATTCTTGCTGTGGCTATTGAACTCAGCCACGCCTGGAGAACCAAAGGTTCCCTATTCTTGTGGTAGTGGTAGGGACTGGTGTACAGTTTTGAGATGTCTAGACTAGAATTGTGGCAAAAGCCTAATACTACATTTGACTTCTGCAAAATGAAGCAATTATATAGTTCTTATTCAGAGAAGATTTATTCTGAATGAGCTGAGCAGGATGTAATTGATCACAGGTGGACTGACTTGACAAAGAAATAGCTAGGATATTTTAATTTGGAGGTTCAGATTTGCACTATTTCAACTGTATGGGTCCAGGGGTTAAAACATACCCTGAAATAACCAGATGAATAAAGGTAATTAAAAAAGAATGGTTTAATAAGAATAATGTGGCTTGCCAAGGAATTTTTTTTAACGTTGACATGAAGGGGTTAGAATAGAATAGCAGTTGAGTTGGAATGCCATTGAGGCCTATAAGGCCTTTAAGTCCAGTCCTGCTTCACTTCCACTTTATTTATTTATTTATGTAAAACTTTTACATGCCATCCTTGTGTAAAACATCGCAGGATGGTTTACAGCACATAAGTCACCAACATGCTATCTCCATGCATAGCTGCACAGGTTGAATAATGCTGGGGGCTGTAGAACTATGTTTTGTCTAAACATGCATAGAATTGTGCCGTTAGACTGAAAGAGGCAAAGGGAAACCATTGCACAAACAGGGAAGAAAACATGAAAGCATAAGTGAGATCAGGGAACAAAGAAAGCTGTGTTTGGGCACAATGGAGAGATCCACTGATTAGAAGAAGTGTTAATTGGACATAGAAGTCTGAGAGGAGGAGGGAGGTAACCAGTAACATGAATGACTGGATGAACAGGTTTGAGACTGATGCAGAACACACAGGAAGCTAGGGCAGAGATGTTAGTGGGCATGGATGAGAAGAATATTTCAGCCATCTGTTTTAGATCGTATTGTGGACCTAATCGAATAACCTATCTCGCATTCTAGTTTCAATGGAAATTCCTTATAATACGAACTTAGAATCAGTGTGGACATTCGTTTTCTAATTGCTTAACCATGGTAAAGAATTAGGAACAGTCCATAAAATGAAGTATTGCTTCTTCTATACCCTTTCCTTTGGGAACATACATTATTGCAACTTGGGTTATCTGTGACTAACTGTTAAACTGTTAACAGCAGCAGACCTAGTGTATCTTGCTTCTTGCTTTATCCCAATATTTGTGACCAAGTTGACTGGTTTTGGATCTTCACTGTGTCCCTCACCATTTTTTCCAGGAACAAAGAAAATTCATTGCCACTTGAATCGAATCAGGCACAGGATAAAAATAAAGCCAAAAAAAGGAAGATCGCAGAGACCTCCAATGTTATTACAGAAACACTGCCTTGTGCAGAATCTGAACCAGTTGAAATTGAGGTGGAGATTGCAGAGGGAGCTATTGATGTGGAAGAAAATAACATTGAAGCACTTGAGGAGGATGCTTCTGCTGAACAGTCTATAAAGTATATACAGACCACGGATTCTTCAGATGAGTCTGCATTGGCTCTTCTGGCTGATATTACCAGCAAATTTCGCCATGGGGAGAGAAAAAGCGAAATTCAGGAGGAAGGCGACAGCATATCTGATCCAATGGGCAAACAGATGGAAGGCATTGAGATCATGGAGCTTCAGCTGTCGCATGTGAACAACCTGTTCCACTGTGAAAAGTGCAACCGTACATTTAAACTGTTTTACCACTTTAAGGAACACATGAAAACGCACTCCACTGAGAGTTACAAGTGTGACCTATGCAACAAAAGGTACTTGCGTGAGAGTGCACTGAAGCAGCACCTTACCTGTTACCACCTCGATGAAGCTGGAGCCAATAAGAAACAAAGACCTGGCAAAAAAATACATGTCTGCCAGTACTGTGATAAACAATTTGACCACTTTGGACATTTTAAAGAACATCTTCGGAAACACACAGGTAACTGCAGTTTCCCCCTTATCCTGGAATTCTTGCCTCAGCACTGTAGCCATGTTCACAGAGAACACTAAACCATGGTTTAGCACTGTGTAAATGAACAGAAGCAACTACAGACAGCCTTCAGTTCATGTTCTGCTCCTTCCCTTCAGCCACGTGGCCAGGAGGAGGTACTGGGGGAAGCCCTTGTTTGAGTTGTCTGGAGTAGCATACTGGTTAAAATGAACTATGGTTTCAAAACAAGCAAGCATTAAACTGTACTTTCTGAACCTGGGCAGTTGGAACTCACCTTAGTGAATGTTAAACATATTTATATTGTGTATTGTAACCTTTCCTAATGTGGTGCCCTCCACATGTGTTGAATTACAATGCCCAGCATCCCCTAGCAAGCACGGCATATTGTTTCTTGTCATATCCACAGCCAGAATTGTTGCAAGACAGGCAGCCCAGAATTATAGTCCAAGAACAAACTACAGGTTGTAACTCTGAGCTGTTTCTCTTCCTCAAGTTGTCCACAATTCTAGGTTTGGATGTCACACCAAACAATCCGCAGCTAGAATATCCACATAGTGGATATTCCCCAGGGCCTTTTCCAGAAGGTGGTGTGTGGGGAATACAGATCAGCCTCATGAATTATCCAGCACGGAGTTTCATAGGGTCTCTTCTATCCCCCATGCTGTTTAACATTGACATGACACTGCTGAGTGGGGTCCTTCGGAGTTCGGAGTATGTTGCCACTGGTATGCTGATGGCACATAGCTCTATTTCTCCTTTTCATCTTCAGCAGGTGAGGCTGTGGATGTGCCAAACTGGTGCCTGCCTCTGAGAATGGACTGGCTGAGGGCTGACAAACTGAAACTCAGTCCAGGCCATACTGGGGGGTGGTTCTCTTGACTGGATGGCAGGCATTCAACCTGTTTTAGAAGAGGTTGCATTAACTCTAAAGGAGTAGGTGCACAGCTTCAGAGTGCTCCTTGATCTGTCTTTGTCAGTTTAGGATCAAGTGGCATCAGTGGCTTGGAGTAACTTCTACTAGCTTTGGCTGGTGGTCAAGGTATGCCCCCATATGGATAGAGAGAGCCTGGTTTCAGTAATCCATATTCTGGTAATCTTTAAATTAGATCACTGCAACCCACTGTATGTGGGGCTGCCTTTGAAGACAGCTCAGAAGCTGCAGTTGGTGCAGAATGTGGCGGCCAGATTAATAACTGGGGCCTGTATGCACTGGGTCCAAATTAAGGTGCTGGCGTTAACCTATAAAGCTCTACATAGTTTAGGGCCGGACCTAATGGAATTCCTCTCTCACTGCAATCAAGCTGGACACTATGCTCAGTCTCTGGGGTCTTCCTCCTAGTGCAAACTCCATGGGAAGCTCACAGGGTAGCAACAAGGTGGCGGGGGGGGGGCTTTTCTGTGGTGGCCCACCATCTTTGGAACAACCTCCCTGTACCAAACTTGCCATCTCTTCAGTGCTAGGTCAAAACATCAGTTTATGTGGAAGCCTTTAAAGATCTCCTTGGTTATCCAGGGGTCTGAATGGATTATTCAGATGTTTCCTTTTGGGGTCTTTTTACTGTTTTTTAAAACCTATTTTAAATTCATGTTAACATTGCAGTTTTTATGACATTTGTATTTGGACAACCACATGTTGGGGATTACATGAGCAGAGCCAGCTGGAGCCAGGGGTCAGACTAGATGACCCAGGAGGCTGCTTCTGACTCACTTTGTTTCTGTTTCTTGTATTCCATTGTTTTATTTTATACATTGTTGTAAACTGCCCAGAGAGCTTTGGCCATGGGACAGTATAGAAATGAAAATAATAATCATCATCATCATCATCCTCATCATAAGTGTTTAGTCCAGCAGGAATGGGTAGCCTGTCAGAAGCCAGCACATTTCCTTTCTGCCACTTGTTTGCAACTAACCAGGGTTCAAAGGAACCCTGATTGTCCATGCTATGAAAATCAGTTCTGTCTTCTAAGTTTGCCAGGGAGCACAGCTAAGGAATGATGTGTTGCCTGACTTGCGCAGGCATTTCGATAAGGACAGAAGCAGACTGCTGTTCCACTCTCATCCAAGCTCTGTGCAAGTGAGAGCCCAAAGAGATCACTGGGGGTCCACTCACCAGGGGACATGCCTGGTGTAAGTAGCTCCATCTGGAACATTCAGAATGCCCAGATGGTATTTTAATAAGCTGAAGTTAGTCTGAGGCAGTTACTCATTCTTAAGAGAGAGTTTTTGGAATCTAGAGGCAAGTTTTGTCCCAGTGCTTGATTCCCCCTGTCTCTCTATATTGTAGCTTTCCTTTCTATGCACCCAAAATCAAATCAGTGGAATCGCTAAGGGAGCGAGCATTTGGCCCCTAGATAGCATTTGAGGATCTTGGAATATTCTGGATCCCCATACCTGTGGTCGGAGACAGCGCACCAGCCCTGGAACTCTAACTCCGCCGCCCCCCCACCAAGTAAGGAAGGGTCCATGTCAGCTGTTCCTTAAAGTTGGGAAAGTGACCTTGGTGAAGCAGAAAGGGGGGTGCACTTGCAGGTGAGGAGGGAGTCCTCCCAAGCCTCCTTCCTTTCCAAAATGCTGACAGGCAAAAAGTCCCTCTAATGAAAATGCAGGGCACAAGGACAGCGAGGGGTGATTGCTTTTATGCCTGTCTAGTGACAGCATCTCGAAAAGAGGAAAGGAGGTTGGAGAGGCATCAGGGTAGCTTGTATCCAAACTTCTCCAATTTATTCCCCTCCCTGCCTCTCTGTTTTACTGCCATGAGGGTTCCCTTTCTGCTCTACATAGGATGACTGTAATCCTCCAATTTTATAGGATTGTACCCTAAGTGCTTAAAATCACACATGAAATACAGATGCAACCTAACAGGAATATTATTAAGATACATATATCCTTACATAAGGGAAGAAAGGCCCATAATGTGTTAAAACATAATTCAAACAGTCACCTAAAGCCTAAAATTTTCTCCCCAAAGGAAGGAACTTCGTGTTTCTGGAAGCCTTGAATCAGAAATTAAACTGATTTTAGTCTTATTCACTCACTCTAGTGAGGTCATCATGATGAAGATATACAAATGAAGTTGTCACGCTTGTCTACATAAATGTGTGCGATGCCTGACCTTGTGAATGCTTAAGCACATCAACACTGCTGCATTGCAGAATGAATTTATGAACATAGATTGGGCCAGGAGGCAATAAGGCATGATCTTAACCATTCCTGCATAGTAATCTGGGCCTGTGAGTGGCAGCAATCAGATAGGAAGGTTTGATGGCTTTACCATGTCAAAACAGTCATAAAGGCACAAAAGCACTGCTTGGCTAGATCAGACCAAGTAGGCAACTTTGACTGCAAAACTGTACAACACAATCCCAGTCTTGTATTGCGTGTTGCTTTTGCAGTGCACGGAGCTACAGCTACATAGGAAGATTTGGGTGGTGGGCCAGTCAAGTCTTCTTGCTCCTGAATTTTCTGTTGCTACAGCAAGGGCCTCAAATTCATCAATGTTCAGTAATACCAGAGTAGGTCTTAGGACTAGCTCTAGCTATTAGAATGTACAGGCTTTCAAACAATCCAGGTACTCATTTGTGTATCACCAAAATTCTGGGTTGTCTCTACCTTGGCAAACCAGAATTGGAATCCAGGGTTTGTTCCAGGAGCATCCTTGGGTTATTTAGCTGCTCCTTCTCAAACATAGAGGCAAGTGGGAGCAATTGAGGCACATGAACTAGCATGCCAGCTTGCCCAAAGTCAATAAAACCCAAGGATTTTAAAGAAATTGTTAGCCCTTGGGCATGGTGGAAGTCACTTCATATTCTACCTTATTTTGCATGCTTGCTTCCAGCCAACCCTTGAGGACGGGTATTTCACTGGCTAATACTCAAGAAAGAATCTACATTTTAGAGAGAATTTAATAACTGAGGATGTTTCCTTGCTTGTGAATGAAGCAACCTACAGGGCTCATCTTGCTAGACAGAATGCTGTTCCTGCACAATTTCTCTGAAGCTAATCCTGGTCTTTAAACTACATTCTGATTCTTTTACTTTGACAGTACTTAGAAAATCTGCACTGTTCCATTTAAATGGTGACGTTTTTAACAATAAATGGTTGAAATCAGGTTGAATCAGTCTGTCATTTTCCAAAAATGCTTGTATTTGCCTTGATAGGTGAGAAACCATTTGAGTGTCCAAACTGCCATGAACGTTTTGCTCGGAATAGCACACTCAAATGTCACTTGACAGCTTGCCAATCTGGTGCTGGTGCTAAAAAGGGACGGAAGAAACTTTATGAATGTCAGGTATGTTACAAACAAAAACACAAGTGGGTTTTGTACATGACGTGTGGAAGAGAGTGTGTCAAGATGATACTGTCACTGCTGTCATTTTCTCTGAGAATTTTAATTCTGCTGTTTGAACGCGCCACAGAATGTCTAGATAGTGGAGTAAGAGATTGTAAACCCAGTTCACACATCTTGCTACTGAGATAACCCTCTATTTCTCTCTGTAGCCCTCTAAGCAACACCTCTTTTAATGTCCTCCAGCAACGTTAAACTTTTATTTGATGGTTTAGAAAGGGGAGAGATTATGTATGAGTATGAAGGGGATAGGACCATACAGTGTCCCAGCCTTTCCAGGATATCCAGTAGTAGGGACTGTATCAACAACTGCTATATCACTTTCTCCTTTTGATGTGGTCCTTCTCTGAGAAAATGGCAGAGGAGGTGGGGAAGGAGACATCATTCATGGGGAAAGACTGGCAGCACCTCTACTGCTCCTTTGGGTATTCACTCCAGTGACATTCCGTATAGGGCTTGGCAATTAATTTGAATTCACTTGCAAGTCCTCTGTATAATAAGTCTATGACTGAATTTCTGTTAAAATATCTTCATATTTTTTTCCGGGTTAGCAAGCCTTAAGGCAGCAATGGGCGACTTGTGGCCCTGCAGATGTTTTGGCCTACAGCTTCTCTCTTCCTTCCCCTTTGCCAGCATAGCCAGTGCCTTTCAGTCTTGTCTCCCATTGTTGGATAAGACTATACAAGGTACCCATTTGACCTGAGAGTGGGAATGGCTACGGTTTCCCTTGGGTGGGTTCGAGTCATTGGCCTGCCTTCACAGACAGACATACTGGCCGGCTGTGCTTCAAGGACAGTTTAGCCATGTCAGCCATCTCAGGCATTCACACAACTCAATAAGCTATGGTGGCTTATAAACAAGAGACAACGTGTCATGTTTTCTGAACTCAGTAAGAGTGATCCTATGTTTTTAATCTCGGCACTTAAATATGGCACTGAAATTTAGAGTAAAATCTGTAGATAACTTTGTTTTCCAAGCTGAATTTGTATTTGCTTTATTTCTGATACTTACATATATATCAGCAGATTTGGTTCCAGGGTGATTTACAATATTAAAACATAAGCCAACCGAGCAATTTGTAAGATTTTAAATCCCTAGAGAATTTTTTAAAAAATGTCTGACATCCACAAAAATTAGGTAGGCATCAGGCAAGCTTTCCTGGAGAGGGTGTTCCATAGAGCAACACAACTGGAAAGGCACTAGCTTTTAGTCTAAAAGGAGCTAAATTTATGGGGTCAGATGTTATAAGGAAGGAGCATAATGATAGTGTTACATCATTTGATGGTGATACCAGCTACAATGAAGGAATGTAGCCTCCTGCAGTATATATGGTTGGCTGAGGGTTTAAGGATGTAGACCAAACTAACAGAATGATCAGAAAATGCATAATGAACTTTGGCTTGTTCTCCTGAGCTTGTTGTATCTTGTTCTTTCAGGTCTGCAACAGTGTATTTAACAGCTGGGATCAATTCAAGGATCACTTGGTGATACACACAGGTGACAAACCCAACCACTGTACCCTGTGTGATGTCTGGTTCATGCAAGGCAGTGAACTGCGGAGGCACTTGCAAGAAATTCACAACATTTCAGAGCGGATAGTGACTGATGACATTCTTCCAGTGGACAGTGATCCAGTGGCGTCCATGACTATCATAGAGCAAGTGGAGCAAGTCCACATGTTGCCCGTAATTCAGGTCCAGATGGATCCAGCACAAGTGACAGTAGAGCAGGTGCACCCAGATTTGATACAGAATAATCAAGTGAAAAATGAACAAATAGCAGAGCTGCAAGAGCAGGTGGAGATCAGCTACTTGGAAGTGGAGCACATTCAGACTGAACAAGGCACTGAAGTGCATATGGAGGAGTTAGATGTGGACCATGTGAACCAGTTACAGATGGAAGAGGTTCATGCACAGCTTATAGAAGAAGCTGAACTAGAGCAGGTGGAATCAGGACATGTGGAGCAAGGAGAAATGGAAGCAGGTGTTTCTGTCCCTGTGGAAGAGGCAAAGGTTCCTGCAACAGATCATGAAGAAGCTGATGATTTAAAAACTCAGCCAATAGTGGATATGCAAGAGGAAAATGTGGAGACCTAGGAAATGTTGACTGTGCTGCCTGTGATCTGGAAAATGTCATACCAAATTATTTTTGTTAATTTTCTCATTTGACTTTTGCACCACAAATAGATGGCTCTCTTGAACCTTGGTGAAGTGGACAAGTGGACCAAAGTTAGGAGATTTGATAAAACTGCCCTTCTAGTGCATATGGTAAAAAGTCCCCCTTTGGTTGTTTTTAAAAAAGCAAAACAAAACATGGAACAAAGTATATTCTACAGACAGACAGCTTTGTGTGAAGTTTAATTGTAGAGTTTTGCTAGATTGTACCAGTAGGTTATACAGTTTGTCATTGTGAGAAACTTCTGAAGCTAGTTCTGTTTTCTTTTCAGAATATGAGTTTAGTGTTTTAAAGGTTCCAACATTCAGATGGATTATCTAAGGACAGTTGGGTGATCGGCTAAAAAAAAAAAAAAAAAAAACCACAGGTAACTCTCTCTTCCCCTGCCCTTTCTTATTTTGCAGTAGCTCCAATCTTTGCTTTATTTATGTTCTTAAATTTAACCACTGTCGTCTTAAGCCTAGAAATCGAATTGGGATGAAGGTAGAGCATGCTAAGAGTTTGTTTTTTAAAAGGAAAAACCCTTGTGCCTTCTCAAACTAAGTAATTAAACTTCCACAAAGCTTTTAGGATATTTACAAAGCTAATGCAAAACAGTGTAGATAGTGCTGTATAATGCTTTGAAATTTTGCTACCAGGTGTTTTTTTTCTGGCATTAAAATAAACTTAGATTGGGGAAAGGAAATGGATTGAACACTGGCAGTTTCTTTTTTTATTTAAAGGGCCAATTATAATACAAAAAAATTAGCTGAATCTGTAGCAAGGTATGAATTGGCTGAAAGGTTGCACTGGCATCTTATCACCAGAATTTTATTTTTTAGAAAAAAGGTACATTTTATATTTTAAGGAAAAAAAAGCATTAAAATACAAAGTAAATGTGTCTACTCAATGCATCAGGCTACTGTTTTATTATTTAACTTTTTGACCCTTTACAGAAAGATCTTATGCTTAAAAGATTGGGGGGGAAATCAAAAGCCATAGGTATGAGTGTTTTAACTGTGGATTTATAAGAGTAGGAGTGTAAATATTTTAATCAGTATTATTGGAAAATAAAACAGTACCACTTACAAGTTTTCCATTAATGCAGTATTATTTGAGTCTTCTAGAATACAAATTTGTAAGCATATTTCACATGTTTTCTTCATTTTAAGGAAACCCAAAGCAGCTAAGGGCTTCATTCTACAGTGACAAAGACAATGGTACTAAATAGAGTATCAGAAGACAACAATATGAGAAAACTATCTAACAATAAAAATCCTACCATAATAAATCTATAAAGAGATTTTAAATTCAGGACTGAAACTGGCATCAGTTCAAAATGCAAACTTCTAAACATATCAGACAAGGAATAATTAAGACCACATTTCAACCAAAAATACACATTTATATTCCACTCCAGCGGCCGATATATTAAACCATTTGGACATACTTTGAAAAGAGATAAATTCACCCTAGATCCAGCAAAAACTAAGGACAAAGAAATAGGCGCAGCACAACCAATCAGTACAAGAACTGCAGGCATTCTGCACTGTTCTTACTTTGCATGTACCAGTCAGCCAGAGCTGGTTGGCTTTGGTGGTCCTGTGACTTTATAGCTCAGCCTGGAGACTGCTCACAAGGCAGTTACCAGACATGATGGTCCAGGCAGGCCTACATGAGAGTCTTCTAGTCCTCAAGAGTACAATGACAGACAATATGAGGGGGCGGCAGATGGCATATACCGTCAACTGCTCCCTCACTGACACAGTCGCCGAGTTCAGTCACTGAGTCATAAACGTTAATCCAGGGGTCCTCAAACTTTCAGTGGGGCCAGTTGAAAGGTGCCCGCGGTGGGCCTGGGCCACCAAGCAGTGCCAGCAGGGGGCGGGAGCGGGGGCGGGGTGAGGCAGCAACTTGCTCACACGAAGATCATTTTCTCCGAGTGAGTCCAAAACAATCTCCGCACAAGCAAGCCACCGCCTCGCCGCACGTGCGCGGCGAGTCCAAAACCTCTGAGGCAGGCCGGATAAATGGGCATGGCAGGCCGGATCTGGCCCGCAGGCCACAGTTTGAGGACCCATGCATTAATCACTACAGGGGATTACAACCAATCCAGCTCCTGGATTAGCATGCCTTTCTAAGATAACATGTTTTCAGCCTGTCATTGCTGACCCAAAGCCATTTTGTTGCCTGAAGGGTGCCCCAATCCTCTCCCCTGCCAGGGCCAGTGCTAGGTGTGGTCCTCTAGCTATTGTTGAACTCAGGGCCGTCTTAACGCATGGGCCTGATGGGCACTTGCCCGTGAGCCCCATACTAATCTGTGTATGTTAACCCTTGGAAAATGGGAAAACTTCCAAAATTAACAGTAGTTGTAGTTGTCGTAGGGGCCCCAGTACACACTGCTTTGCCCAGGGCCCATAATGCTGCAAAGACTGCCCTGGTTGAACTCTAATTCCTATTGGCTGTGCTGGTTTAAGCTGCTGGAAGTTGGAGTCTAGCAATATCCAGAGCATCACAGATCCTGGTTTAAACAGACTTAGTGTGAGAATCAGACACACATTCCTGCATTCATCTCTCTCTCTCATGTTGTTGTTAGTTGCAAAGTTGCGTCCGACCCGTCGCGACCCCATGGACAACATTCCTCCAGGCCTCCCTGTCCTCCACCATCCCCCGGAGTCCACTTAAGCTCACACTGACTGCTTTGGTGACTCCATCCAGCCACCTAATTCTCAGCTGTCCCCTTCTTTGGCCATCTATTGTTCCCAGCATCAGGGTCTTCTCCAGGGAGTCCTTCCTTTTCATTAGGTGACCAAAGTATTTGAGTTTCATCTTCAGTATCTGGCCCTCTAAAGAGCAGTCAGGGTTAATCTCTTATAGGACTGACTGGTTTGATTTCCTTGCGGTCCAAGGGACACGCAGGAGTCTTCTCCAGTACCACAATTCAAAGGCCTCAATTCTTCAGCGCTCAGCCTTCCTTACGGTCCAGCTTTCACAGCCATATATTGCAACTGGGAAAACCATAGCCTTGACTATACACACTTTTGTTGGCAGGGTGATGTCTCTGCTTTTTAGAATGCTGTCTAGATTTGCCATAGCTTTCCTCCCCAGGAGCAAGCGTCTTTAAATTTCTTGGCTACAGTCACCGTCTGCGGTGATCTTGGAGCCCAAGAAAATAGATTCTATAAGAGCTCTCTCTTATAGAACCATCAAATAGTAAAGCTGGAAGGGGCCATGAAGGCTTTCGGGTCCAACCCCCTCTTGTTGCAGGACACCAATTTACACTATCTTCTCCCTCTGTCTTACCACATGAAAGCGGTTGGATTGCTCTGTTGCATTCCCTTTTGATTATTTTTCATGCATATATTTTGGGCACATATCCAAAAGTATCAACACTTGGGTTGCTAAGAGTTTCCCACAGTTGAAGAACTGTGGTATGAACTTCTTTGGTTACTTGCTGAATTTTTATGCAGCCAAGCTAGCATGCATGATTTGTTTGTTCCTTCTTCATGGGTAGCTTAATGTGACAGGACCAAGGCCACACAAGGAGTACTGTCGCTGGGTGGGGATTTGAACCTGGGCCTGCGGAATCCTTGTCAATCACATTACCTATTATAGGTCCACACCCAGCTCTCTTCAAGTTGCCTACCCATACTCTTTTTTAAAGTGTGCAGTAGTGCTATTTCAAGGATGCAAGTGTCAGGAAATCAGTTATTTAATGTACAAAACCCCTAGAATTCATTGCTAGCAACTTGCCCATCAATGTTAGGCTGCCATTGCAATTGTCCCTGGTTCTATATGACCCAGTGGGAGTCCAGCCAGAGAAGAACCTTCAGTGTAGTGGCACCATGTCTCTGAAACTCACTGCCTTTGGAGGTCAGGCAGGCATCAACATTGCATTGTTTTCAGTACCTCCCGAAAACACCTAATTCAGGAAGCCTTCCTTCACTGACCAGCCACAATTTGTTTTTATCATTGCTTTATGCTTTTATCTGTTTATTATACTCTGCTCCAAAATCTCCATACCAGAATGTGGATTATTATATAAATCTAGTAAACAAAATATAAAAAAATTAAAGCTGCCTTTAATCAGGGCTGAAGTGAAGCAGGACAGCAATGTTCTGTTAATAAAGTTATGCAAATCCAGACTAAGTGGCTATTATGGAAGCATTTCAAGTTGGGCGGTGTAACGGTATATTTAGGCCAGTATATCTGTGAACATTTAGGATTTGAACGCTTAATTCAGTGCAAACCAAACTCTGCTGTACCTGGAGGTAGATTTAAGCAAAGATGCTAGAGGGCAGCACCAAGCTGTCTTGCAAGGAGGATTTGGAGGCCTCAGCGATGAAGTAATGCCTTTTCTTAGTAAGCAAAAAGTGTTCCACTGGTACAGGTCAATATCCTGCCATTGGCTTTTTGGTGTGTTTGAGGCCCCTCTCGGTTGCTCGTTGCTGCTGCTTCAGTTTACAAGAGGTTAGATTTTGGTTCAACATTAGGAGAAATGTCTTGAAGGCAACAGTAGTTTATCAACAGAATCAGTTGCCTGATGATGTGCTCTCCCTTGTGGAGGGGCTGGGCAGCTGGCTCATTCTGGTTCTCCATTTACTCCACTGAGGAAGGACTTGGACTAGATCCCAGGTAGACAGCTTGGTACCCTCTAAATGCTTTGGGCTACAGCTCCCATAAGCCTCAACCAACTTGCTAGGCGATTAAAGATTCTGAGAGTTGTCACTGAAAACATCTAGAAGGTACCAGTTGGCTTATCCCCGTGCCAGATGGCCTCCAATGCCATGCTTCCGTGTTGTGCTAGCAGATGTCTGATAGCACAGCTGAGCTTTCTTCCTCCCTCCTCCTGCCTGCAGCCTTGCTCTCTGGCTGAAAATCTGCCCTGGGGGTTTCCCAGCCTTCCAGAGCAAATTTTGAGGGTGCAAAGGGGACTGGGCAAGAGAAATCACCCCTTCCCAGTTCCACTCTGTTTCTCTCTCACCCACATGCTTGAACAGTATCTGCCCCAGCACTGCAAAAAGTAGCCCACCAGTTTGGCCTAATGGACCAGCGGGGCTTATAAATGCCTTTTTGCTATTCAGGAGGGAGGCTCAGAAAGGTGGGGGGTGCCTAGCATTTCATGCTGCAGTTGGCCAATTCCCAGTTGAGCAAGTCCATTCCCCAAGGATTATCGTTACACTTTATTTGTAGAATTTAGACTCTTTCCTGGTGTCCTTGCCCACATGTGGCTGCATCACAGGCCTGAGGAAGGGGTGTAGTTCAATGTTAGGAATATGCTTTGCATGCAGTTTGGATCCCCAGCATTCCCAGTACAGCCAGTAAAGAATGCTGCCTGAAACCTTGGAGAGGCATTGCCAGTTCATGTTGTCAATACTGAGCTTATTGGGCTCAGTGAAGCAAGGATTGGACTCTGTTTAAGGCAGCTTCTTACCTGATTCCTAACAGATGGTTCTCAGTGGAACGGTTCTGTGATGGGAGGGAAATGTTCCCCATCCCCATTATATTGTACCAATTTGTTTTGATCTGTGATGGCAATTGCCTTTCGGGCTTCATTCTTAATGAAGAGAAAACAAATTTGTTTCTTTTAAAAAGAAGTTCCTCCTGTATGCCATTTCTGCTAAATTTCCTCCTACATCCTCCCATGACGTTTCAGATCATTCACAAGCATCTCCCAGCCTGGAATAACATAGGGGGGAGACTGCAGGCTGCCAAAGGGGGTAGAAGTCTCATTCTTTGTTGAATCCTGAAAAGTGAGGATCTGTGCCAAGCTTGTGAGTTGAAACTGGTTGGACAACTGGCTTACTCACAACAGGCCCTTTGCTTCTGCCCCGTTGTTTGCCTTCTGTCAAACTGCTTTTGAAAACAATGAAAAGGTCTGCTTAGCAGAGGCAAAAGCAGGGTAGGAGCACGTACTGCAAGTATATCTCATATTTCAAAGCACTTGCAGCTCCTAAAATGCTGTTTCTGTTCTGTCCTGAGGCTTCTGCACCAGCCCCCAATGGTGCTGTTTGCACAATTTTACACATGGCTGCATCTGCCAAGTTATTTAGGGAAGGACATGATGGAGCTGTCCATGGTTTTCAGGGAA